TGCGGATCAATTGGAGGTGGCCGGTGAGCGCACGAGACGTTTGGTTCGCCTTTCCGGTGGCCGGTGAGCGTACGGGTCACTTGTCGGTGGCCGGTGAGTACGCGGGCCATTCAGATGAATCTTCTCGACTTGGATGATGACGTTTATCGTCTCTCCTTCGTCTTAAGCTGTATACGGAAACCTATATGCATTTTTAGACGCCTACAATTATGTTAGTGTACCATGAGTTAGTGGAGGGATGTTATGAGTGGGTGATTAATTGAAAAATTGATGGCAATCAATTGGGAGGTTATGAAAAATTGAGCATGTATGCCTTCATGTATGTATGCATGGATGTGCAAGCATTGAGGAGGTTATAAAAAATTGAGCATATATGTATGAATGGATGTACTGGAGGGTATTTTGGGAAGAAATGTTTTAACATGACAACCCGTTTTTATAATAGTATTAGATAGATTTATATTTGTATCCTACCAAATACTAAGTTTAAAAGTCGAAATATGTATTTTTTAATCAAAATTGTTGCTATCCTAATGTCGGGATAATTATCGTTCCAAAGCTTCATGTTAAGGCTTGTTCGGATCTTTTTGTAAACCACATGAAAGCTGCTGTAGTTAGGAAATTAGTTGTCCAACCTAACCTGATAGGTACAGTTCATTTTGGTGAGAAGTGGTCAGAATCTGCTAGCGGGGATTTTTTTTTTTTTTTTTACCACACCAGCACTCTATTTGCACAGCCAAATAGGAAAAACACGCGAAAGCTGCTATAGCCTTGCAGCTATATTAGGAAGCTTTCAAGCAAAAACAACCCAACCGAACAGCTTACGGGCCCTTTGCGAGAAGCTGTAAAGCTGTGAAGGCTAGATATGTAAATTTCACGCGCAAAGTGTGGCGCACGCAAAAAACCAAACACAATCACCACCTTATCCAACCCCGTTTCAGCGAACGCTTGGAATCACTCGACTCCCCTCCCTCCCAACAAAAAACCCCAAATCCAAGAGAGAGAGAGAGAGAGAGAGAGAGAAAGCTCCAAGAGCCGAGCTTCAATGGCTTCAGCAGCAACAACGAAACCCGTACTCTCCTTCCTCAACCTCCACAAATCGTCCTCCAATCCCAAACCCTCCAAATCCAATCTCCTCCCCCCCAGAAACCGACCCATCACCCTCCACAAGCGCCACGTCGTCATCCTCCCCCACTCCGTCGACGTCTCTCAAGACGACAAACCTCCCTCCCAAAAGAGCCCAGCCAAGACAAGGGCCAGCCGATTAAAGACTAATGGGGACTCGACCATCGACCTCGTCGCTGCGCAGAGAATCGCGTCCTAAAACACCGCGTCTACCAATGCAACGTCTCGCGGGCACAAAATACGACGAGGCCGTCGGCGACCCCGTACCGATACCGCCCGCTGCCCTTCTCGAAGCTTCCAGAAGACTGGAGATGCCCGACCTGCGGGGCGGCGCAGAGCTTCTTCCAGAGCAAGAGCGTGGAGATCGCGGGGTTTGCGCAGAACCAGCAGTTTGGGCTCGGAGGGAATACTCTGACCTCGGGCCAGAAGGCGCTGCTTATTTACGGTGGCCTGGTTTTTGCTTTTGCTCTGTTTCTGTCTGGGTATTTCTTGCAATGACGTAGACACGTATGTATGTTTTGATGATTTTGTTGTGTGAAAAATACGAGTCCGTTTGAGTTTTGAATGTTTTTCTCGGACACGGTCTACTGATAAAGATTACTCGGCCGCACGATGTTGGTTTATATTGTGCACGTTGGGTTTACCCTTCGGGTTTGCGCTAGGCTAGTCCTCCACGAACACCACGACGCTTTGTTTCACCACCATCCCACCAGCGCCGCTCGCTCGCTCGCTCACAACTAAGAAGTTGGGGTTGAATCCTTACTGTTGGAGGTTGTGAATAACCGACCCCGACGAATTTGGAACACCCCTTATTGGGTTTTGAATAGTGTTTTGGGTTTTGTGGGCGTTGCATAACACACATGCACACACATTTTTTTGGATCTTAAAACTTTAATTTCACTGTTTTATCTTTTGACTCGTTCGTAACAGATGCGGAGATGGCGCGGGGATTTACGCGATATTTGGGTAACGGGCGCGATAGATGTGCGGGATGAGCAACGTCTATGAAAGGCCTCAATCTCCTATATATACCGCACTTCTCCTCCTCTGAAAAACACAGAAAATCTTCTCTCTTCCATCTCAAACCGAGCTCTCTCGTTCTAAATTATTTTGGCTATTGTGTTACTATTTTTCTTTTGGGCAACGTTCTTCGTCTGAGCTTAAGCTCTGCTACCATCGCCCGAGTACGGAGGCCGGCCGAACCGGGGGTTTTTACCGCTAGGGGAGAGAGGATCGACTGCGCCAGGGCGATAGGCGGATCCTCAATCTTCTAGGACAGTGAAATCACGACTGCTCCCATTCAGACCTGATTTTCTGACTTTTTATTTTCGGATTTTATACTAATATTCTTCTTTTCGACAGCAGTGTAGTCAATATTGAACTAAATGAAACCTAGGATGCCGTACTCAGCATTGATAGCTTATCCCTGTGAAAGTTTGTGAGAAATAGTTGCATTTTCCGATCTGTTTGTGCATCGAAAAGTGCTTTTCTTCCAACAGGTCCCAATGGCATTACATTCTTAGTAATCATATGAGATTTTCGATTTCATATAACAGTAAACAAGTTGCTTCTAAAAGTAACAATTAGGGCGTTGCGCTGGGGGCAATAATAAACTCAGGCTCCGGATAAATCAGTCGACACTAACTATACGCTCACGAAGGCGACACAAACTTCGAAAATTCTCATTTTCTTCATGCACAGAGCTTTTGATGAAAGCAAACTATACGCAGAAACTAAATAGCTTCCGGATCAAACTTATGAACTGATCGCGCTCCTGTGAGATCCATTAAAATTGACAGCAAAGGGCCTCTCGGTTTCTAGGAAAACAGGAGGATGATCAAATATCTTAACTCTGAGATGTAGCGGGTGAAACACACGTCATATTAAAAAAGAACCATGGCATGATCATAAAACATATCAACCATTAATTACTGAAAGCAAGTGACACCTGATAGCAATTACAACATGTGAACAATAACATTACAACCACTCGATATTTTATGTCTTGGTCCCAAATAACAAGCACATCACACCCTTAATATAGACACAGGACTAGCATACATTCCTCAACCGCATAGATGTTTCATATATCCACGAAATTACCTGGGCACATTATCTACAGTACTGAAATGCCAAGATGAACGCTACACCCGCTTTTACGAAAAAGAGCGGGATTAAAAAGGTCTCATCTCAAGCAGACTTTGCGAATCCTATCTGGTTACCACCAAAGTCGAAAACAGTGTGGTACACACCCATGAAGACATCTCCAAGGATCCTGCATGCATTAATACTTTAGAGCTGCAGTAGGTTTTCTTTAACGAGCTTTCGCACGTATTTAAACTGACTAGTAGATTAAACGGTCTTTGACGTATTAAGCCCCCAAACCTCTGTCACTTCTATATTAGACCACCAATTCTTCATTTTTCTATATTAGACCACGAAACCATTAATTTGTTTTAAATAAGATCCCCAAATTCATCAAGTTGTTTTAAATAAGACTCTCAAATCTATTAAGTTGTTTTAATAAGACCCCTGTTCTGAAGAAATATGGAGATCTGGGGGTCTAATTTAGAAATATGAAGATTTGAAAATCTAATATAAAATTAACAAAGATTCGGGAATCTAATATAACAAAAACCCTAAATTAGATCCAACTAAAAGTACAAAGCAACATACCAAAGTGGGCCTCGTGGTGGAGGCAAATCAAATGCCATAAAACCACTTAAACAGATAGACGTGCCTTCTTGTTCTACCTTCAGAACATACTGAAAGGGCACAAGAGAGAAAATAATTATGAAATTCATGGTTCTAAAAGCAACAGTTAGAACAAAGCTACTAACACCAGCAACTTTCTTTTTCAACTCACTTTACTGATTTTGCAAGAAACATAAGCAAGTAAATGGAACGTGCAAAACTAAACCTAAAGCTTCTTTTTTTTTTAATTTTCTTTTCATGTTGTGGGAATGAGAAAAACGATGTTTAGTTTTGATGATGACAGCTGAATTAAATAAGGAAATAACTATGAGAGGACGAAGTAAAATAGGGTTGATAAGAGGAAATCAATGTTACAAAATGGTAAGCCAACCAATGATGGGATAATGTGCCAATATGGTGTCATTAACATAATTGGCAATTATATATAAAAGCTAGTTCATAAAGAATGATGAGGATATACAAATTTGAAATTGTTCTTAAACTATAGCATTAATATTCCTCCTCTAGAAGCCAGTGCTAGTAGAATTTCTAAAGGTTGTAGAATGAACCTGAGCAAGCAAATTTCTTTGATCAACCCACCGTACTTGCTAACTTATAATCACATCACATAACATTATAACGAACAAAAGAAGAGATGATCAATTGGAGGTAAATCAGAGAAATAAATTACCAAGCAGAAATACCATCACCCTGAATTTACCTGGGACGAAGTTTAAGACAACTATCTAGATGAAGTAAGAAAAGTTGTAGACGGTCATAATGCTACGTGCAGTAAACTACAGAAATAATTTGGCTGATATAGCATGAAAATCGTTAGTTATCTCATGATGCAATGTGCACTGCACAACACTGCTAAAATGGACTGCGATGTTTTTAGTTCATTCAGTAGGAAATCAATTATTAAATGTTGAATTATCTCGCACCTCTTCAGGGGTGAGGCTAAAAGTTTTATCTCCAATCGTGAAAGAAATATCTGGCATCATTGCAAGCTTGTTGCAGTCTACAGCTGATTCTCCAGCAGGGCTTGGCAAGCGTTCACATAGCTACAGATAATTAAAAATACTTAGCAAATATCATATAATAAAGTACTGCCTCCAGGCCACAAATATTAAAACTGAGATGATCAGAAAATTTACCTCATTGGCATACGTCAGTATTTGTTCTCTAGTTTCATTTGCTCTAAGCTGATTTTCAATCCAGATCACAGCCATCTCACAAGCAGTGCAGAAGAGATCGTCATTGAGGGATGTCCTTTTCTTATTTTGCTTCTCAACCACAGTCTCGATGCCAGCACTGCATGGATTTATGTTTGTGTTTCAATTGCAAGACAAGCCCACCAACTCCACCCACACAAAATCTTAACTTACCTGGTATACTGCTCACCATCAAATATGCATAAACCAATTTGACTGCAGATCTTGCCAGGTCGGATCTGTCATTAGTTAAGTTAATTAGCAAGCCATTAAATAGGAAGTTAAATAAAATTCATCTTTCATCTTTAATGTGATATATAACGGGAGAAAAAGGAATATAAGTTCAAACCTGTTGCAGGAGAAGTTCTAGTATCATCTCCCCATATTGTGATATAACTTCCTTGCATTCCATGCTCACAACTCCTTCGGCACCAATTGCATGATTCACTTGGGCCACCACACCCTGAACCAAAGATTAAGAGTATTAGTCAATGAGCAAGTATGCATTATTTGTAAGGATAATCAAATGAACACAATAAAGAAAAAAAGAATGATTCTAGAAATCTAGTGAATATGGTTATGCAATTAAACAATTGCTAAATCAGACGGATAATGAAATATAATGCAACAATTGACATTTAGAAGATTAAATCACATATGAGGTGTTTGGCACCATGAAAATAGAAAGTGAACAGAAATACTTACTTGTGACTTTCTATTTTCTGATCACATGAGGTATTAGGCAAGTGGAAGCAGAAAATGTAAATAAAATGCTTTCTCGTCAAATTCTATATGATAATCTTGTTTGGATGATATAAAGTGAAAAGGTGAAAGTTGAGAATAAATATTAATATTTCTTTTATCACAATTCATTTTCCATCCACTTTTCCGAGAAATTGAGAAAGTGAAAGGTATTAAAAAGCTAATGTAGAACCTTTAACTTTTCATTTACTTTCCAGTCATTTTTTCAACTGCCAAACAGGAGGGAAAAAAGTAGATCCAGGTTCCAATTTTTGTCATCTTGCCATTGACTTCCTTTTTACAAGCATGTCATTTCCATAACTGATTGGAAGATGCATAGCTTAGACAGATAAATTAAAAAACAAAAAAGCTAAAGAAACTTACAGTTGGGGCAGCAAGCAAGGAAGTCCCAGAATCTACAATAGCTGCACAACCTGCAGCACAATAGCCTGTCGACTTGCCGCCAACTAGAAAATCTCCCATGTCAAACTAAAAATAAGAAGAGGGAAAAAAACAGACACCACATATGATTATTAGAGGCATATTGCATACATAAACTCATGTTAGTGATATCGCATATATAAAGTCATTAGACCATCAATACCTGCCAGTATCCCTTCCGACTAATTGGAACATAGGTATGGTTTCCTACATAATGTTTTGGATCAACACCCCCAAAAACAAGTTCACCTCCATCTGTCTCATCTGCATTTCTATTGAGCCAGAAAGAAAAGACCTTCTCGTTTATTAATTTTTGTTCTAGCATGCTAGACCTGTCATGAAGAAAAGAAGAAGATTGATTATCTTCAAATAAACTCATCGAAAAGGTGACATCGGATTATGCTAAAAAAAACTACCAAATAGGAGGGACATCTCCAACTGAAATTTCAGGAAATCCAAGACCAACAATGCCATCAAACTTTGCCAACAAGAACGTAAGACTCCCCTCTCGTGTTGCTTCAATGAAAATCTGGAACATGAAAATTTTCTTTACCATTTCTGAAATGAAGTTAAAGCATTTAAAGCATCAATAGATATGACATGCAAAGGGAAGGTATTTGTGACAGAGAACTTACTTCATCTTTAACGATAAGGTCTCCAACTTGAACATGATCTTCACTAAAGAAACCCGAAATCGTTCCGGAACCATAAGAAATTTTGCATTTGTCCCCTAAATAGTAATCATGGAATGATACATGGGGAATGTGAAAACATATGTATCTAATCAATGAGGAAGAAATTTTTTCAAATAAATCCATAGGAGAAACAACATTTGATGCATATTGTATGTATAAAGATGCCCAAGTACCAAAAAGAATTTTATACGCAATAAGAAGGAGAAAATTGTGAAAACTTTTGAAGTTCAACTTTCCAATAAATTATATAGCAGAATCTGACTTTTGAAACAGCTAAAATATCTACTTTTTTGTGATCTAGAGATCCATAATGATTAAATAAATCACAAGTAGGTTATTTTGTTACTTAGAGAAATAACCATGTGCAGGCATCAGTTCATTTTACGAGAACAGTTTCAATGAGGCAAGTTTTTTTAGTAGAGACCAACCTTTCTCCGTGTGACTGCTTGATTTAGTTGCTCTGTACTTGGAATGGAAATAACAAGCAAGCTGCAGAATAACATTTAAATAAAAAGTTACAAAGGGAAAAGCTTGATTATTAGAACATAATGTAGTTAATAAAGTACTCACAGAGAAGTAACACTTTGATGATGGCACCCAAATATTGGAACTTCCAGTATCGAATATGACAACAAAAGTTTGTGGAGGTGTGCCAATACCAATCTCTCCAAAGTATTGAGCATCCATATAGTTCTTTAAAGATATTATATCCACTTCAGAATCGCCTAAATTCCTATTAAAAGCACAGCTCCGAAGATGGATATTCTCTTTCCTTGCAATCCTTGCTGCATTCAGTCTATCAATATCCAACGGTTTCTTCTTGATCCCAACTCTCAGTAGGCCATCAGATGAAGCATCAAGGATCAATGAGCTAGATAGAGCCCACAAACAAATAGACAGTAACAGATATTGTTGCCCCATTTTTTTCACAACAGAATCTGCAGGTAAAAACCAAAGAGAGTGAATAACTGCACCACATGTTTTAGAAATCAAAGTTGACAAGATATGCAATGAGCATACGAATGGTATTTCAAGAGTTTGTTACTGAAGAAGAGGTATAAAAGATAGTAAATTAGTTCGAATATTAGTTCTTCAATAGAGGAGTTATAGTTGAAGTTTTAATCGGATATAGTATCACCTCGGAACAGACTAACTGTATGTGAAGGCACATGTGAGGGATTGGCATCTAAAGCCTGGGAACGAAGGAAACGTATGTATATGATACTTTTAAGCGCATGGTTAAACAACTTTTAAGTCACATGTTAAACACTTCAAGTCACATGTTTGCCAAATGAACATCAACAAACAGTTTATGTAGGAAAAGTTTAGGGTATAGCAGTGAGAAAGGAGAAAATTGAAGGATATATAACTATTATTAAAAGTCCATAACCGCATACACACAGTATAATAAAAATATAAAAGGAGTAACATAAACAAAAACAATAAATGACCATACGCCATCCATAAACAACAATTCACCTAGAGCAGTGGCTGTTACAAGAAGTTTCTGCCAAAAGTTAACAGTCTTCGCGACATATTTACAAATCAAAAGAATCAGCAAAAATTGCAAACATAATCAATTGCAAATCAAAAGAATTAGCAAAAATTGCAAACATATTTATTCAATGCGTGAACAATGAAGGATGACTGACACGATGACTGGAAAATTGCAAAGATAATGAACTCCTGCTGACTTCAACCTTCAGTAGTTTCCCACTCGAAGAACTATCCTACACGTGAAATATTTCAATTATATAAATCATGACAGTCTCTCACCTAAAATCACTGATATGGGTCAGCTCCAGATCGAACTATAAAGCAGCAAGCATACATAAATCAACTAATCCACTCCAGTCCCCACAAAAAAAAAAATCCTCACCGAAGCTCTAAAAGAAAAAGAAAAAGTCAAAAAAGAGGGATTTTTCTTTCTTGGACCTTCCACCCAAAACAACACAAGCTCAAATACTAAATTCAATAGTTTAATGGCGGTTGATGATGGGTCCAATGTTCTGATCTTAGCAAATATCATCAGAATGAAAAATAAGGAGGGAATGAAACAGAGTACTACTAAAACTTGTAGTCACCTACAACATACAAACAAATTATTATTGAACAAACTAAGAATAGGGTCTTAAGAATTACAAACAGCAGCGATGCTTTTAGCTGTAAGATACTAAAGAAATCGCACAATAAATGATCAAAATTAGTAACTGGGTCTTGATCAAAATTGGAGAAGGGAGAGCTCTTTACCTTCGTTAAAGCTTTGGTCTGCGCACTGAAGAAGGACAGCCGAGAGTCAGAAAGACGCTTATACCCACCAGAGGAAGATAGAACCAGCTAGCTAGGTGTTTTCAGCCTCATCGTCGGTAGTTGAGAAATTAGAAGGGCAATTAAAACGAGCAGTTACATCATCTGAGGAATTTACCCCTGGAGTTTGAAGGAATGGCAATTTTACACGGGCCGCTAATTTAGGCCTTAAAAGACAAGCCCGTGAGTGAGCTTTCCATGTATGCTTCTCATGTTTTACAGATTTGCTCTTGTTTGCCAAGTTTTTAGGCCAAGAATAGAAAATTAGGTTGCAATATTTTGCATTTTGGTGTCTTAGCATCAGTTTAACATTGTTTTCTACTTTTCTTTAATTAATATGAAATATTCAGCTCATCAAGTTATAATTTTCTTCCTCAAATTAATGGCAAAACTCATCACAAGGGTGGAGTCCAAACTTGGGTTAATTCCACAAAACCCCTTCACCCTTTTTATCTTACATAACCCCTCTACATTAAAAAAATAAATAAAAATTAAAACTTTTTTACCACCGAATAACCCCTACCAGGTAATTAGCAAAAGGCTAAAATTAAAAAAATCCCAAGTTGGGTGAAGCAGATAAGTTGCCTGTAAATGAGACGGGGAAAAATATGAATTTCTTTTTCTCAATAAAATCTTAGTTAATTGTCAATTGTAAGCATGAGGATCCGATAAGAAAGTTTAGAGTTAATCAAGTTTTGTGTGGAACCTTAAAGTTTAAGAGGGATCATGTTAGATTAAAAAAAAAGTTTGCAGAGTTATGGTAAAAACCCCAAAGTTCAACGAGTTTGTGAAATTAACCCCTTAAACTTCATGTACAGGATCATGATGAGGCTTTACTAATGCGATACCTAGAAAAGCTTATATTTTGCAAGAAAAAAAATAAAAAAAGAGGGCCAATCGCATCACAGATGTCTGTCAAGTAATGACGAGACTCCTCCTGTAAATAAATTATTAAGAAAAAAAAAATGTTGGCGAACACAACGACAGTCGCGTTTTCGCAACTGCGGCTAGCATTGCTCCACATATGGGCCAAGTAACTGTGCGGGTTTGCCCACATAGCCCATGTCTATTTCAGTAATTTCATTGATTGCTGGCGGAGGAGGTCGCACAGTATGAATGAAAATATCTCCGACGAAAGATATTCTTGCGGTTGTGTTTTCAAGACTCATGGAGCATGAGGTCCTTTTCTATCCACACCAAAAGATGACAAAATCAAAGATGAGGAATCCATTTTACTTGCTGGGCAATTAAACTAACCTGACTTTGTAATTAGTTTAATCTTATCTTAGATCACTGTGCGTCACTTTTATTGACTCTTAGGCGGATGACTTTGTTGCATCCTTATAAAATTAGTATATACCTTCATGATCCTACTTTGATGCTAATGAGGCGTGCGCGCCTAGGTGGAAGCGTGCTCGCACACCGAACAAGTCCGTGAGTCGCCGAAGAAAACCAAACCAAACATGAGTATAATCCAATCCAAAAAACGACAAATCAACCCAAACACAGAGATATATGTGGTTCGACAATTTGCCTACGTCCACGGGAGAGGATGGGGAGATTCCACTAAATCAAGAAGAGTACAAAATGTTATAATCTCACAAAAGCTCACAAATAAACCCTAAACTAAAGCTCTCTCCTTGCTCACAAGTTCCCCCTCTTAACATGCTCAGTACAAAATCAAATCCCTGATATTAAACCCTAGAAAATCGTGTTTGATTATATATCAAACAACAATCCCAAATAGAGCAGGAAACCAAGCCCAGACCCAGACCCGACACGTGGTCGACTGTCGCGCCAGTCGCGATCAACTGTGGCCAACGACAGAAATTGAAAATCCATTACAAGGTCTCGCGGTCGACCGCCAAAAGTCCAGAGACTTTTCCATGTGCTGTGCACGTTTGAGGTCGACCGCCGCGCCACTCGCGGTCGACCGTGAAACTTCCAAATGCATGTTAGCTTCATTTTTCCTGAACTCTTCATAAAACTTTATAGAATGTTTTTTATACTTTTATTTGATTAGAATTAAGATATCTGTTAGTAATAGATATCTATTATACATTACTATTATTAAAGAAAAACCATCCCTATCTATGTCAATATTTCAAAAAAAAAATCAATATGTATGCTCAACAATCTATTATACGCTCAAACAAATTAGGACAAAATTGAAAAGATCTAAAAACACCCCTACTTGATAATTCCTTCCACTGCCCACATTTCTAATAATAACATAGTTTATATCACTTTAGCAATAATTTTCTAAAAATTAATTCACATTAGTATTGATTATTAAGATATCAAAAATATTATTTTACACACAACTATACTATATAATATACACGTCAAGTGCACCAGGGAACTAGTTATGAACAAAATTCTGTTGGCCTCTTTATTTTGATGATGTTTAACAAATAATTTACCACTAATATTGTTTGTCTAGTATTTATGTTTTCTTATTTATTATAGATAAACAACATATTGGAGGATGGATGGAATTGAGTTTCAACGATCAAATCCAATGGAGGTTGGCAGAATTATGGTATGAAGCCTACGCAATTCAAAATTCAAGATCCAAGTTCAAGCTTCATCCGCAAGTGTACCAAGATAGAGCTTCGTTGAATATCACAAGCTTGGGTAAATTTAGTTTTAGGTTTTATATTATGTGTGTTAGTACCTTAAGCTCAATCATATACACACATACACGTTTTGGTTTCGTATATATATAAGTATATATATACATATATGTTTTGGTTTGATAGTTTTCAAGTTTTAATATGAAACAATTGAATATAATTAGAAAACATATTTTTGTTTCATACTTACATGCATATATATGATTTTATCAATATCAATTTTATTTAGTTCAATGAAATCATATTTTCTTTTGAAATGTTTTGCAAAATATGCAATTTTATGATAATATTGTTTTCTTGGTTTATGGACTTAATAACAATCATATACATCTTTCATTAAGTCTATATAATTATTTTTGTAATGTTTCCAAACATGGTTAAGCTAAAATGTCAAAACTCATATGTTTACATTTTCATGTGTTGGACTATTTTGGAGAATAATGATATTTTATATTTGGAAGGTACTTTTTGAAAACCGATTTTTGTAACATGTGTATTATCATATTTATAATTATTTTCCAAAGTTTTATAATTTTTGGAATTTATTTGATATTTTTAAACAGGGTTTTAAAATCAAAAAACAGTTTTCAAACCTGAAAATCCATGTATCAGTTTGCGGTCGACCGCCACGGTCGACTGCCCTTGAGTCCAAAGACTCAGTATGATCTTTTTTGGCTCGTGATCGACCGTGACGGTCGATCGTATGCAGTCTAGAGAATTTCGCGGCTGACCGCCACGGTTGACCGTCTGTTGTTCTGAGCTATAGTTTTACTGTTTTGTTGCTCACAGTCGACCGTCGCGGTCGACCGCCGAACTGACCGTTGGGTTCCAACGGTTAATTTTTGAGCTGTTTTCTCTTGGGCTTTTTGGTCATTTTGATTGGGTTTTTGCTAAAGTTTTGAGTGGGTATAAATACCCCCATTGCCTTCAGCTCTCCAAAACAATGAGAGTGTTTTAAACTAGTTTAAGAAAGTTTTAAACAAGTTAAACAAGGGTTTATGTTTGGTTTAAGTTTGTTTTAAAAGCTTTTAAGCAATTGAGAGTTTGATTTTGTGAAATCAATTTCACAAGAGCTAGAAGAGATCATCACTTGGTGTTTGAGCTTCAAATCATCTCTCTCTCTCACTCTTGTCATTTATTGGAGAAGTTTTCTAAACTCTATCTAGCTTTATATTTTGTATTGTTTGATTATCATTCTATTAAGCTAGTATTTATATTTGAGTTTAGTTGATTTTATTTCACTCATTGTTTACACACACCCACTTGAGCTTATCGTATTTTCATACATAGTATATTTGGGTTGGTGAGAGTTGCAATAATTGAGTGTGAGCTTACATTGTGTTCTCATCCATATTAGAAAACAATCATTTGTTGTATTGTGCTTATTGTGAGATTCATTTTGTAATACCTTGTATACCGAGAGAAGTGTGTGGTGTAAGTCGGGGATCGTCCCAAGAGGAGTAGCGTCGGTTGAAGAACCTAGGGAGAGGTTGTATCCAAGCACTTGAGGGAGACACGTCTAGGTCCAACACTTGAGAGGGTGTAGAGTAGGATTGTAAAAGTGGTGATTGTAAAGTTTTCGATTAGCTAAAAAACCGAGTGTGAGGTGTAAACGTTATTGGGGTAAACGTAGAAAACCCGATTGTGATAGTGGATTTCTCCCCGGGAGTGGGAGCGGAGACGTAGGACGGAAGGTCCGAACTCTGTGATCATATTGTGTGTTTGTATTGTTTATTTGCACACTATCACTCTTGTTTTGTTTATGTTTATTTTACCCTTGTGTTAATTTATATATCCTTGCATATATTTCATCATATACCTCTTTGCTAGGATATATCTCTTTATTCATATTGCATATTCTTGCTCATATCATATTGTATATCTATCTTGTAAGAATAATTCTTTAGTAAGTTTTAATTGGCATAAAATCGGATTAGATTAGCATAAAACCCTAATCACCCCCCTCTAGGGTCTAACAATTGGTATCAGAGTTTGGTGCTCTTTGATTTAAGGACTAATCGCATTGAGTTAAAGATCCAATTTATCTTCTTTTTGTGTTAATCTTGATTTGATTGCATTTGTCTTGCTTATTTATCATGGACATAAATTGTGCACCTTGTTTAGATTATGCCATTAATGTTGCTCCTCGTTTAGATAATTTCCCCTATGTCCAATGGTGTGTTAGATTTAAACTCTTTGTTCAATCTAAACATTTTGATTTATGGGAAATTATAGATGATGATTATATTGTGCCAACTTCGGATAAATCCAAGTGGAATAAAAATGATCATCGTATGTTTACAACGAATAATATTTTGTTAGAATATTTGCTAAATGCTCTTGATTCATCTATGTCTAACAAGTTTGTTCATTTTATATTTGCTAAATGCTCTTGATTCATCTATGTCTAACAAGTTTGTTCATTTTGATAGTGCTTACAACTTATGGAAACTTATTG